CCCACACCCACACCCACACCCACACCCACACCCTCTTCGACAGATCTACATTCATCATGCAGAAAATCATATATCCTTAAAGTTTCCCAAAAAAATATAGGAATTAGGTTTGACATTGGCTGTTCAATGATTCGATATTTGTTCTCACAAGATGCAGATAGAATCTTCTCTAATATTCATACAAATGATCATTCTGCAAAAAAATTCTGAATTCTTGCAATTTCGAATAAAAATTCTCAGATCCCTATGTTTTTCTATCAAAAGCTTCCATTGAATTAGCATTACTCTTTCTTCGAGGACTTCCTTACATCAATCTTCAGATGTAGTTTTCTTTTCATAGGAAACTAGGGAAAGACTTATGAATTTCTATCTGCGGAGAGAACATCCTTGAAAGTTTTACCAAATTTCCTTCAAAGAAGACGAATATTCCCTTCATAGACCTTTTCCTTACGCGAGAGAGAGAAGGATCTCTTCGATAACGGACGATCTCTATTCTTTTTCGTTCATTGTAGTAATTCCCAATATTCCAGCCACTGCCCGATGGGCACAGAATGGCGTGACCGTTGCTGGAGGCCATGGAGACGGCAATGCCACCAATCAACTCAATGGTCCTAATGGTCTCTTCGTTGATGATGATCAAACGATGATCATTGCTGACAGCTACAATCATCGTATCATCCAATGGAAGATGGGTGATACGAATGGACAAGTCGTAGCTGGTGGCAATGACGAAGGAAATCGATTGGATCAATTGGATTGGCCAATAGATGTGTTAATCGAGAAAGAGACGGATAGTCTCATTATTTGTGATCGAGGGAATAAACGAGTCGTACGATGGTCTCGTCGTAGTGGCACAACTCAAGGAGAAATCATCATTGACAACATCGGGTGTTGGGGATTAGCCATGGATGATCAGAGATATCTCTACATTTCTGACAGCAACAAAAATGAAGTAAAACGATATCAAATAGGGGAGAAGAATGGAACTATTGTGGCCGGTGGCAATGGCGAAAGTGCTCGTCTCAATCAACTCGCCCAACCGCACTATATCTTTGTCGATCAACAACAGACTGTCTACGTGTCAGATTTTTTCAATAATCGTGTGATGAAATGGAATAAAGGTGCAAAAGAAGGGATTGTCGTCGGCGGAGGTAAAGGCCCCGGGGAAGCTCTGACACAATTGGATGGTCCTCAAGGGCTGTTCGTCGATACATTGGGTACCATCTATGTGGCAGAAGCGGCGAATAGTCGAGTGATGCGCTGGCCTAAAGGAGCGAAACAGGGCCCTGTCATTGTGGGTGGAAATGGTTACGGAGCAGGACCACATCAGCTCAACTTACCCCAAGGTTTGTCCTTCGATCGATATGGCAATCTCTATGTCGTCGATAGTATGAATGAACGTGTTCAACGATTTTCAATCGAATAGACTCAAAACGATGGATTTTTTTCTTTTCTTTCTCTCAAATAAATCGCATTGAATTGATGAAATGAATGGTTTATTCTATTCGCGCGTGCGATCAGGAACCATCCTGGTGGCGCCGTGGCGAGCGTAACGCTCATGCACGCACAGGACAGGCTCATATCATTCATACTCTCCCCGCAAGAGATATGTCAATGAGTCTGAATAAGCCTGGTCGTGTGCCACGGACACCAAGATGGTTCCTGGCCGGGTTTTTAGAGCCTACCAGGAAGGCCTGTAACTAACAGGGGCCTAACCTCACTGGACATAACTCACGCCTTCCTCCCACTAACACTTACTTTTCTTAGTCTCACCCTATTCTCATCCCAAAAAAAAAAAAAACAATTACTCACTATGTTTGATATTGGACGACGTTGGTGTTGTTGATGACGACGCGATGATATTGAGGACTACTAAAAAGAAAAGAAAAAAAATTAATCATTTTTATATAAGAAAAAAGAACGAGATGACCTACTTCACTATTATCTTTTTCTTCACTGTTCAATGCCTAAAATTAGAAAAAAAAAACAAGAAAAAGATCATACGAGGACTTACCACCTCCATATGATCCAAAAAAAAACAAAAAAAAAAAAAGAAAGAAAATTAAAAATTAAAACTGATACCTACATTTTATTTTATTGCTTGACATTGAATTGAACAATTTTGTATCGTCGAAGTCAAGCTAAAATATAAAAAGAAACGATTATTATATGATTCAATGAATTGAATGATTTTCTATGTAAAATCATTCATATTTATATTGTCATGATGATTATTGGGAGAAAAATTACTCTAGTCCTTTGTCACAGGAGAGTAATTAAAAGATGAATCTCATTAAGCTATAATCAGAGCACATGCATACATTGAGATATATTCAATCACAAATACCTCAATGTATGCATGTGAATATAGCTTAATTGATATACACATTAATTATATCATATTATCATTGATCATCAATGATAATATGAACGATGAGTTATGGACGAGAGGAAAAAAAAGAAGAAAATTCCTCTTTTGACCTATTTCTTTTTTCTTTCCGCATTCTGTCACTCACATGTTCAGTCGATATACAGAGCAGACGAACACACCCTCACAAGTAAGGTATATTGTCTTTATTTTAATATACTTCTTTTGAATGACGTGATATTTTTTATTTCAAGAAATGACATATTTTATTTCATCGGTTGTACTTGTTTAAATTAACGATATGTACATTAAATCAATTGTCAATTTTCTCGAATATATTTTTTTGCTTCTAATTTAGATAGAATTCAGTGATTTTATTCATTATCTTGGTGACGTCAGGGAAGTTAGCGGCAGATTCGAATAAAATCAGCGAACATTC